TATGTGCCTGATATTGATAAAAATTTGCTTAGTGTTGGTCAGTTAATAGAAAAATGATTTAAATTATTATTTGGAGACAAATATTGTCGAATTTTTGATTCTACTAAGCAAGAGATTTTACAAGTTGAAATGAGAGATAAGAGCTTCTCATTTAATCCAACAGAAGATGCACACAAGCCTTGCAAGACAAAGGATGAATTAGTTTGTTCACAAGGTCAATTTCAGATGAGACTACAATCTACAATTCCTGATCCAAGAAGGAGTGTTGAGAATATGTCTCAGGATATTGCAAGAAAATAAAACAATTAGCTTATTTTTAGGTATTTTAATTATGTTATTAGAGTCCTATTTGACTTATATTTAGGAGTTAGTTCTTTTTATTTGTTATTTGAATTAAGGTGATAAGTTAGTATCTTATTTTTCTATTTTTAGTTAGGAATTATATCTATAAATGCAAGTCTCTGAATTATTAATAAAATAATTCCCCTTTTGATAATACTGCAATTATTTTTTCTCTCAAAGTCTTTCTCTGTTATTTTCTTTATTTCTTTATTAAAAAACCAACAAATATTGATTATTGTTGCCTCAGTTTGCTTCCTATATTGGTTATTGATAATGTTCTTTGTGATTGCAGTCTTTTGTGTACCATTTCTACCATTTCTGTCGGGTTATATAATACTATCATTACCAGGTAATAATAATAAAAGGGATATGTCCCCTATCTTTCATACACACACATACAGTGAAAATATACCTTCTTGCACTATGAAAATGGTGTGAAAATATTATACATGTTTGTTTACTGAATTGATGAACTTGTGCTATGTATTGTGTCTTCATTTAATGGATGATTAGTTATGTTTATTGTTTGCAAATCTGAAATTTGAAAATGTATTTAATTAGTTGTTGAAATTGTTCCTTCTTTTGAACAACAGAGCTCGAGTGTAAACTATTCATACCTATTTGTTTTTTTTAAATTATTATTATTATTATTATTATTATTTAATTATATGTCATTATTTTATTTTTGTAATGTGTATCATGATATCCATTAAAATTATTAAAGGTTTTGCCACTCTTGCCGTGAGGACAAACATCAAATATAGAAGCAAAGACGTCATGAGAATGAAAACATTTTAAAAATCATATTTAAAGTTTAATAGCTCAATTTGTATTGTATTAGCTGTATATTACTACTTGCGATGATTTCTTTTTTTTGAGAGGTTATGCCTTGTAAAAAAATAATTCATAATGATACACTACTTTTCGTTGGATAAAGATTCATTTTGTGATAACTCATTCCTCACCTTTGTAGCATTTGAACATGAACGAGTATTTTACTATTACAGAAAATCAAATATGCCATGCAATATTATTGTCTATTGAGGTCGTCGATAGCTTGATGATTCCTTGACAATTGTCTATAATACTGATATTGTGTTGGGCCCGTGTTGACACGGGCCATACACCACTAGTAATATATAATAAAGAGTAGTTTACAATGTAATTATGTCACGTGACAAACTATTGAAAAGTCACGTGATAATTTTAGGAAAAATATTATTAAGTTACGAAATAACATTGAATTTAAATTACATAATAACGATTTGAATCTATGGATAAAATATTTCCATGTAAAGTTAAAATTAATTTCTTTAGAAAGATAAGTTTTTTGACTAACTATGTGAAACTGATCAGATACTTACTATGATAGATGTGAAACTAATTTTGAGGTTTTTTTTTTTTTTTTTGTATTTTTTCATATTTTCTAAGATATTATTTTTCAAATTTAGTTGTACTTAGATAATTCAATAGGAAAATGGATTGACACCTGACTCTCAATGGTTAGAGAAAAAAATAAAATATCTTATTGATTTCAAATATTTCTCTCAATTCAATGATATAGCTTACAAGAAAAAATTCATTGTATTTAAAAACTTAAGGATATGAAAGAGTATTAAAGAAAAGATCTTCTCTTAAGAAATTTGAGTAGGAAAAAAGTTCTTACTTCTAACATCTCTTATTCCTACAACAATATAATGTTAAACTCTCTTCTCTTTCTTTTTATTATTCATCATTAGCTTCATTGATAAACTTATTTACTGCACTCTTCATTTTTTAGAAAATATTTTGTTTTAATGTTTTTTTCTATATGAATATGAATGATGATCATAATACATGCTACTATTTTTGCTACTATGTACATACTTAAATTGAAATAAGTATTTTTTTTAGAGATTAACTACTATCCGCTGAAGTTGAAAAGAAAAGTAAACCGTCAGTTTAAAAATGAACTGGCGATGTACTTTTTCTTGTCCATGGATATAAGTTAATCTCATTTCTATCCTATTTTTTTTTTTTTTTATAAAAATAAATACATTCAATTACATAGGTGAAAAATAAAAAGCCACCTTTCATTGAGAAGTTTAATTTAGTCAAACATTTTAGCTTTTAAATGCTCACTTTTGTTATAATAAAAAAGAGTAATTTGCAATGCGATTAAGTTAAGTGACAAGTTATCGAAAAGTCACATTACATTTTTAGACAATATTATTAGGTTAAGTAATAACATTGAATTTGAATTACAAAATAATGATTTTGAATCTATGAATAAAATATTTGCATCTAATTTTTGAATAAATTTCTTTCAAAAAAATAAGCTTTCCAACTAAATTTGTGGAATTGAGATACATATTTTGATGGATGTGAATTGGTTTGAATTTAAATTTTCGTGTTTTTAGGAATTTTGAAAGGAATTGTTTTTTTTAGGTATTTTGATAATTCAAGAAAGGATCAAATGAGTTGACTCTCAATTGTCAGACAAAATATACATTTATGTCATTGATTTAAGACATTTCTCTCAATTTAAACATATAACTTATAAGAAAAATATGTATTGTATTTACGGAAAAGTGTCAAATTACCCTTCAACTATTTAAAATAGATCAAATATACCCTTTAACTATTTTTGGGCTCAAAACTACTCCACCTGTCTAACTATTGGATCCCTTCTACCCTCCCTTTTAATGGACTAAATGTGGCATCCAACCTATAAATAATAAAACCACATGGATGTCCACCTAAGCACAACAATGTGACTAATTCACCCACCCATTAAAAGTAGGTACTTCAAATATGTTTGCAAACATGGCGCATGGATTGGTAATAATTTCAATTTAAATTATGTAGTTCAGTGGGTAATAGGACCCCCGTAAAGTATAATTTTATAGTTGAAAATTCGGTAATAGGTTGGGGCCTCATTTGGTCATTTTCTCTCTCAACGGCGACAGAGAAGAAAAACAATTTCTTGTTAAGATTACCGTTTGTCAATATTTTTGCTATTTGTTTATTCATCCTAAATAGAAATCGAGCCTTTAGGAACCTCTTTGATCCTTCAATTATTAGAAAATTCTAATTTTGGTTCTTAATATATGACTCAACACATTTAATTTTCAACCAATTAAAAAGTGACTTTTGATTACTTAAGGGATAAGACACAAGTACCCCTAGACTATGACCGAAATCTCAGAGACACATCTTAGCTTAATTTGGGTCATATTACCTCCCTGAACTCATTTTTTCATACTTTTGTGCACCTTTTGTGCTGATGTGTCACCTTCAACCACCCAAGTTGGTTGTGTTTGTATACACCCACCTGCCACGTGTGTAGTTTTTTTTTAAAATTAATTTCTTTTTAAAAAAAACATTCTTATTTTGTTTATCTTGTATTTAAATTAAGTTAATACACATTCTTTGTACCTTGTATCAAAACTTTTTTTTACCTTCATTCATTGTTTTTTCTCTTTTATTTTTCTATTGATTTTATTTACTCTTTTTATTTTCTGTGTCTTTCGTTTTGATTTGATTTGAAATTTAATTCTAAATGTTTTGTATTTTAAATAAGTGAATTTCGAACGGATATCAAAATACATGAAGAAAATCAAACAAAACAGAAAAAAATAAAAATATTAAAATTAAAGGTCAATTTTAAATTATTTTAAAAAAAATACACAAATTTGCTAAAATATAATTAAAAGTGAAAAGATAATAAATTAATCAAAAAAAGTTTAAAGTGAGAAAGAAATTAAAATAAATATTTTACAAAGAAAGAAATAATAATTAAATATATAAAAGTTTTAATATCAATAAATGTATACTAACTAATTATAAAGTTACCAATTAAAAAATGGCATGTGCTCAATTTGTGCACTCATCACTTGCCTTCAAGAGAGTGTGCACACTCTTTATGCTATGTCAGTGTTTGTGGTGTATTTATTCTATTTAAAATTAGTTTAGGAGGGTAATAAGACCCTAGTTAAGTTAAGGTGTGTCTCTAGGATTTCATTCATAGTCTAGGGGGTACCTGTGCCTTATCCCATTACTTAACATACAAAATATGTTATATTTAGATTATTTTTAGAAAGATATTGCCCTGAAATATGGAGTAGCAATACAAGTTTAATATTTCACATGGATAATTAAATGAAACAATATTCTGAAAATTCGTTTATATTTATAAGCAAAGACACTAAAAGTGTATTTCAAGTAATTGAAGGTTAAACATGCTTGTCCAGTAATATGATTTTTCTTCTTCCTTTTTCGAGTTTTAAACATAGATGAATACATGGTATCAGATAAGGATTCTTAGAAACTTAGTAAATTTTGTTTGAACCTTGCATTATATTAAAAATTCAGCAATCATATAATAAATTGATAGATGAAAACTCATAACTAAACTTGATGCTTGACACAGGATCGATTCTCCTTGGAGTCATACCGCTCAATTATTTATCAGGTAAAAATAAAATTTCACACAACAATTTTAAATATCTGGTAATATATTTTAACTCTTTTTTAATTAAACAGGCCATGAAGGCCATAGTATTGATAAAACCAAACTAATTACACAAGAAACTAAAGAGTCCAGGGCCAACAACAGCCCAGACCTGAAAACAAAAGAACAACCTAATCAGACAAGATCAGGGCAGTTGGAAAACGAAAGTGCGCCACCCTTCTTACTGCAACTTCATCTTCTTCGCAGAGACAAAGGAACTCCGATGTGGCAGCGAACAAAGGTTAATGGCCAGCAGAGAACTCCAAATAATGGTCACATTTTGGTCCAAGAGAAAGTTAGCTTGAGTAGAAGTCACTGGGGACGCTTAGAATTCTCATAAGCGCCATGACTCTAGCTCGGTGAAGGATCCTTCAACGTAGCTTCGTAAAGCCAAAATGATACAGTCAGTGAGTACCACTACACCCTTAATCCTCTTATTCAATTGGAAGCTTCATATGATTTGATTTAATTCATCGCTTAACAAATTGAGCTTTGAACGGAGCTAATACCACCGTTCAGGGATGAAGAATATCATGTCTATGAATTAAGCTGCTTCGGAAATTGTTGTATGTCCCTATTCTCCATTGATAAGATTTTCTTTATTAACTCCTATCATGTCCGCCTTGTGAAATATCTTCATTGATTGTTTGTTGCTCTAGTTCTATAAAACTTATTTTGATATTTCCTTATGTGCAAATTTGGAATTTTTAATTTATCCATTTGCAAGATTATTCTTCCTTCATTTGGTACCTATTCAATGTTAGTGTATTTAACATGATTTGTACCTGCAAAAGAAAAAACTATGTTAGCAAAAAAAAACTGTGACTTTGTTCCCTTCTCTTAATATGTGAGTCACTCCACCAATTTGAGGACCTTCTCTCTTAGCGAACTGATTTTCTTAACCTCCATCGATATGGTCCAAGGAACTTCCCACACCCTATCAACTATGTTCTTAAGAGCTAATGAATCTGTTTCCAAAGTAATTGGAAGAAAACTCTGAGCTACACAGAATTCAATCCCCATTCTCATTGCTATTACTTCAACTTCAGTTACCAAAACGTCCCATGTTGTTCTTGTATCAGAATACACAAACTCTCCACTGTCATTCCTAACGCAAAAAGCACTGGACATAGGCCTAGGGTTGGCTCTACATGCCCCATCCGAATTACATTTGAACAGTCCCCTATTTGGGGCAATCAAAGTAATAATTTTTGTGACTAGGATTGGTGTGTACTCATATAGATATTGAACAATGAAAGGCCATCTCTTAGGAACATTATTTAGCCAAGGATACTTAGTAATAGTAAGCAAATAAATATTCCTATTAAGATATGATAATAAATAGTGAACCGACATACACCCTCCATGATATATAACATTTAAACTCTTCCGTATGTGCCAAATCACCATGACAGGTATGATTTTAAAGATAATCTTCAATTTTGGAGCACAATCAGCTTGCCACCACTTAAGAATGTTATTCCTCAACTGAATAAAAGGACCTTGAACAGTAGCTGCAACAGCCAAGTAATCCCACACCGTTTTTGAATCAGGACAAGCACAAAATAAATGCTGGAAAGTCTCTATAGCAGTTGTACTGCAACAACAAGTCACACTCTTCACCACCCTCATATGCATAATCACCTCTTCAATAGGAATTCTCCTTTTACACACTCTCCACATTAGAAAATCTTTCTTAAATGGAAGACCCTTGACCCAAATATTTGAATAAAGTTCCAGCCCTGAAATTGTGAATATACCATTTCTAGTTAGCTTCCACCATGGTTTATCCCAATCTTCATCAACTTGCACCACCCTAACCTTGTCAATAATATGATTAACAACCTCTATAGGTAGCAAATGAGTCAACAGAGGTACATTCCAGCTATCTCCAACATTAAGGACTTAACATCCTCCATTCCATCCTGCATAGCATGAGTAACTGGTAATACATAACATAAAGCACCTAACTCAGTCCAATTGTCATACCATGTACTATCACATCCCTTTCTTGGTTCCCATCAAAATAATTTCTTTCTTGTAGCATGTATTTCCATGCTTGTGAGCCACCTTTACATTCAACAACCTGTGGTGCTTCTTACAATATTTTATCCACATGAAATTTGCCCATAATGATTTTTTGTTCCTGAAATTTCACCATAGCTTTGCAAAAAGAGCCCTAGATACATCAAATAAAGATCTAAAGCCCAGTCCACCTTCATTCTTTCGGCAACAAACATCAGACCATGCTACCCAATGTTTATTCTTCCTTTCTTCCTTGAAATTCCATAAGAATCTTGCAAAGATTCTATGTAGGTCATGAATAACACATTTAGGAGGGACAATGACTGATAATAGATATATTGGAATACTTTGAAGGACATTATTAATAAGAACATGTTTTCCACCAAAGGATAGTAGCTTAACTTTCCATACTTAAAGCTTCTTTTGCACCTTCTTCACTAGCTCAATAAAGTTAGTTTTCCTTTTCCTAGCATGTACAATTGAAAACCCAAGATACATTAATGAGAAACTTCCTTTGCTGAAGCTAGTGGCAGTTTCAATATCATGATTTATTAGTCTTGCTGTCAAGTGAAAGACAAAGAAAGCACTCTTATCCTTGTTAATTTTCTGCCAGACTGAGGCTCATAGTCCTTTAAAGTTTGTATCACCAACTTGAGCGTTTTCTTTTCAGCAGTACAGAAAATGATAGTATCATCAACATACGCTAAATGATTGATATTATCACTCCATTTTGACATCCCAAAACCCTTGAAATCTTTGTGAAGAAACAAATCGTTTAAAGATCTAGAAAGTACCCCAACAACAATAATGAGCACCACAGATGATAATGTTTCTCCTTGCTTTACTCACCCCCCCCCCCCCCCCCCAA